TAGAGCGCCATGTTCTCTCCAGTTTCCTAGAGTTTTGTTTTAATGCTCGTAAATGATAATTAAACCAGGGAGCCAACTTCCTGTCCCTAATTACCTTCTTTTTTAAAGGGGCAATATCATCTAATGCCACACGTAAAGAGGAATTAACATGATGAACTAAGGCATCAATTTGTGAGGGGCTAGAACTGAAAATATTGCCCTCTGCTACGTTCCTCTGAGATGCTGAGGACAGAAAAGATGGAACAGTTGATTTAAAAGATGCAACTGCGTTGTCAGATAGAGACCGACTATAGTGAAATTTACTTTCATGTCTCAAAAACTCAGTTATACAAAACTCAAAGGTTATCAGAAAGTGGTCCGAGAGGACTGGATTATGTGGAAAGTTCGTTATTTCCTCACACTCTATGCCATAAGTCAGCACAAGGTCTAATGTATGATGGCAGGAGTGGGTGGAGCTATGTATTCTTTGAGTAAAACCAATATTACTTAAGGCTACATTGAGGCTATCATTTTCAATGTCCACATGAATATTAAAATCCCCCACTACAATGACCTTATCAGTATTTAGCACCAAATCTGATAAAAAAAATCAGAAATCTGATCCAAAAACTCAGAGTAAGGGCCTGGTGGACGATATAAAACTACAAACAAGAGTGGTTTTACAGTTTTGCAATCTGGATTAGGAAAACTAAGAATAAGATGTTCGAACGAACTGTAGCTATTAATTGGTAAGGGACTGATTAATAAGTCAGAATGAAAAATGGTTCCTACTCCTCCTCCTCGCCCTGTACTTCGAGCAATATGATGATTTAAATAATTTGAAGGAGTCGACTCGTTTAAGCTAACTTTATAGTCCTCTTGCTGTAGCCAGGATTCTGTGAGAGAGAGCAAAGAGATCTGATTATCACAAATCAAGTAATTAACTAACAAAGTCTTAGAAAAAAATGGATCTAATGTTCATCAACCCACATTTAATTTTTCTAATTTTCTGCTCAGTTGAATTTGTTCTAATATTTATGAGATTTCCATGGTTTGCTTTATTAAGCCTGATATTTAATCTGTGTGGTTTTGGCCGTGGGGTAGTGGGTGGGTAACAGTACAGAAGCTGCAGAGGGGTGGGTTAAACTACGACTCTGCTTCCTGGTCTGGACCATGGGTTGTCATGGAGGACTAATAAAACTGGCCATATTCCTAGAAAGAAGAGCTGCTCCATCCAAAGAGGGATGGATGCCGTCTCTCCGCATCAGACCAGGTTTTCCCCAAAAAAGTTTTCCAATTTTCAATGTAGCCCACGTTGTTTTCAGGACACCACCTAGACAACCAGCGGTTGAAGGACAGCATGCGGCTAAACATGTCCTGTTTTAAGATAATCAGAATATATTTATGTGATTTTTTGTATAAATGTAAAATGAGTTCAGAACCAGTAAAATCAACTCCACTGGTTTCATTTCACTCAGGGCTTTGATAAAAGTGTGACTGCAGTTGTGTGATTAAACCACTAGCAGGTGCTATCGGACGAGAACAATCTAAACTGCTACATTAACAGGTGTTCCACATGTGTTTTTAACATGATATCAGAGGCTCGTTGGTCTAGGGGTATGATTCTCGCTTAGGGTGCGAGAGGTCCCGGGTTCAAATCCCGGACGAGCCCTTTCTATAATATTGCTGTTGTTACTGTTACAGCGTGTCTGTAGTGTTGGGTGAGATCTCTGTATTTCTAATGGGATGTCACTTCTCTGTTGTTCTATTCGTTTAAAACTGATGTCAGTTTTACTTAAAAACTTTTTATAAATAGAAAAAAATTTAGGAGCTTATATTATTTTGATGAATCTTTCTGGATTTATCTTTTTATAGTTTATTGTAGGTGCTTTCTGAAATGAAATGAATGTATTAAAAGCAGGTGTGTTGTGACTTATAAGAGTTATTATAATTCTCTGATGTGTTTACTCGGCAGAAATTAGATCTCTAACAGAAGTTGTCTGAATTAAACCCGGGACCTCTCATCCAAAGCGAGATTACCACACCTGGGCATCAAGCCTGCAGCTTGCACCACTGGTGGGTACCATGGGTGTCACAGATGTTCTGTGACCAGGATGGTACTTGATTACAGATGAAGATAGCTATGGCTCATTGGTCTAGTGATAAATTTCTAGCTAAAGGTGCAACAGGTTCTGGGTTTAAATCCCAGATGGGCCCTAGAAGGATCTTGTAATCCAATAACAATGTCATCCCCTGGTTCTTGATAGCTCCTATCTAGCATGTTCTGTTTGTTTTTCTGCTCCAACACACCCAATTCCAAGGTTGAATCAATTTTTCAGTGGACCATCACAACTTAATCAGGTGTGTTGGAGCAGAGTAACATCTAGAACAGTGATGCCCAACTCCCTTCTCCGAGGGCCGGTAACCAGCATGTTTTACTGTTTTCCCTGCTCCAACACAATCAATCAAATTGTATTCGTTTCTATCAGGCTTCGTCCTGGAATTGAACCCGAGACCTTTCACACCCGAAGCGAGCGTCAGCACGGGATGCAGCCAGGGGCTACACAGCGTCAGGAGTAGTGTCAGACCCAACTATGCCAAAGAGCCTACTATTGCTCAGCAACGCCACCAAAGGGTGCTGTCGGACAAGATACCAATCACAGGTTGCCACATCGACAGCTGACACAGATGTCTCACTGATTTGTCAGACTGGTTCTGAATATTTTACGTGTGGCTCGTTGGTCTAGGGGTATGATTCTCGCTTTGGGTGCGAGAGGTCCCGGGTTCAAATCCCGGACGAGCCCTTCTTTAGCATCTATTTTTTTATTTCTGACACCAAAGCTTTTCAGCAGCTATTAAAACCTATTATAAAATATGTTCTATTCATTATCAGCACTGGCTAACCTCTCAAAACTGGAATGATTTTACAAAACCTTTTAACAAAAGTAAAATCACAGAGTCGGAGTTACAGGCCGAAACTGTCCCTGCTGACTCAAGTTGTCTTCCTCACCTGGAGTACCAGGTTGTTGGAGGATTCATGATGCGAGACTGAGATCAAGATTTCAAACACCGGGCAGCACATCTGGCTCCAGAAAGTCGTGATTTTTAAATCTTGTTTAGAGACCCACTTCTATGACTTGGCTTTTAGACAGTGACTTGTTTTATTGTTTTAATGTGTTCTTAGTATTCCTAATGTTGTATTTGCTTTTATTGATCAGTGTGTTTTGTTGCTTTGATTATTTGTGATATGTTCCAACCTGTGCAGCAGTTTGGACAGCTCCCATGCTGCATTTTAAATGTGCTATATAAATAAATAATGGGATGGTGATAGCCCATATGTGGCCCCAGAGCCTTAGATGGTGAGGCTTTGTATGGATGGTGACGTTTTTAGATCATGTATTTCTTTTTTTGATATAGTTTTCATATTTGTTGCATTTCTTTTTCTTGCCTCTACCTCTGTTAATTGTTATGTCTTTTATATGTTTTTATTTCTTTATGGTAGTGCAGCATTGCTCTTCTTGTCCAAATCAAATGTCCTCACAGGAGACAAATGAGGTTACTCAAACTGCTGAGGTTGCAGGTCCCTGATCAACTCAGTGAAATGAAAAGTCTCAACAATCAGCTAAAGAAGGCTGGTTCTGTTCTGGAGACTATTGTGAAGCACTGGAGATGATGGTGCAAAGAAGGATTCTTCACAAAATCAAGAAAAGTATGGACAACTCTGAGCACCCTCTTCATGACACCGCCATGCAACAACAGAGCATCTTCAGTCAGAGGCTCCTTAGACCTGCTCTAATACAGACGGCTACAGGAGATCCTACACACAGCAATCAGCTTACACAAGTATTTAGAAAATCTTGAATAATATAAGATGATGATGATGATTTCAATTAGTTTATGTCACGAATGACATTAGATCAAAAACAAACTCTTACATTATTTATTGTACATAAGTGAAAATGTAGCAGGAAGAAGACAAATCTTGTTAAGGCCTGTTGATTTGTCATTATACATTTCAAGGCTGTATAATAAAAAAAAATTCCGGAACTGCGCTGCTCTGGTTGGCTGCATGTAGGAGTAGCTCTGTTGACTATATGCAATTTTTGCCTTTTCTTGGGCATTTTTTCTTCTAGTTTCTCAAGAAAAACTGTATTTTTTGGACACTTTACTTCTCTGTTTCTGGTGCTGTGAAGCTTGGAGGATTTTTACTGCTATTTTTTATAGCTTTTTTCACTTTTTGAGCATTTGTTATGATGTGTAACCATGGCAACAAGCTGGTTTACAATCGGGAGCAGCTGATTAACATTGGAAAGGCTGAAATAATACCTCAACTGAAGCCACAAATCCTAAATGAGCTAAAACGCAAGAAGCGTGGATGCAGAGCGGGAGCAAGACGGAGACGGAGAAAGAGGAAATTCAAACCATCTCTTCCATCGATCATAATGGGCAATGTGAGATCACTAGCCAACAAGATGGAGGAACTCCAAGCCCTTTCAAGGACTCAGTCAGAGTTTCGGCAATTTCGGAACCACTGGAGGAGATAATGTAAAGAAGGATTCTCCAGAGAATCAAGAAAATTATGGACAACCCTGAGCATCCTCTTCACAAGACTGTCCGACAACGGAAGAGTGTCTTCAGTCAGAGACTTCAGTTTCGCTGCAACACTGACCGCTACTGGAGATCCTTCCTGCCAACAGCCATTGTAATATACAACAACTCTTTGATGACTATTATTATTCTGAGCTACTACAGCAATCAATTTCCCTCTGGGATTAATAAAGTATTTTTGAATTTGAATTGAATTTCCACTCAAAGCTGCAAACAATATCCATCTCCTATTTTGACTCAGGAATACGTTAAAACATAATTGCATAATAATTGTTCATCTTATGTTTCTAAAGTATTTTGAATGGGTTTATAGTTCATTTATGTGGTTTTATAATAACCAATAGGAGGCAGAGCGGCACCTCTCCTCAGCTGAACTCGGGCTGGTGCTGTTCAGCCAGCAGAAACCTGCTTCGGCCTTAAAAACGTGAAGATAAACAGACTGTTACATCTCAAACGATCTCGGTCTACGGTGCGGATGTCGCAATAAAGTAGGTCAATTGCGTTAAGTTTTGATTTTCACAACTCTGGTTGATAATAATCTCTGGACACAACACCGAGTGACTGTCGTGTTTTGATGACGTCTGCTGTGGGACTTTCTACATGCGTCACACTGAGCTTCCGAGTATTTTAACGCTAGCTAGCTGCGACTGGCTCATAACCGTTAACGTCGCATTGCTTCCCTGTTTTAAAACCCCAAATGGAGACATGAAAACGCTTGAAAGCCACGAGAAGAGCTGAGAGGTCTGAATTTAGAGGAGTCGTCGTCCCAAGCGGCGGTCACATCGAGAGGCGGAATGTCAACAACGCGGCCCCTCCTTGGTATGCGACGAGTCACCGAGCTAGCGTGCCCGGAGCAGCCCACCAGCAGGCTCCATTCGTCGGCCGGAAGACAGCCGACAGAGGCCCTCCCTGTGGACGAGTTTACGGTCCCGGAGGACAAAGAAGAGGAGATGAGATGTGCCAAGCCTCGAGTGGAGCATGTTTTCGAAGTGACTTTTACTATAATCGGTCTGCTGGACCACACAGGACAGCCGCACGGCAGCAAAACATCGCGGCAGATATGGCTGCAGCTCCGGGGGAACAGGGACGACGTGTCGAAGGCAAAGGTGAGCCTCTCTTCTTCACTCTTACCTGCGTTTCTGTCCTCATAAAGTATCTCACAACAAGTTAAAATTCGTTCAAGCCCCGAACAGAATCGGGCCCTCCCTGAGGAACAGATGCACGATGACACCAAGTTCAACTTTACCAGATTACACAACAGGACACCAACATTTCTTCATCTGTTCTCCCAGAAAGACACACTTAGCTTATCAGAGCTGATCAAAAGCAAGACCTAATTACTCTGCTTTGGGTCTTACACTCCAGTTTAGTGGCGTTATTAAACATTCCCACAAATGAGCTGGATGGAGATAAAACAGTCAGAATTCACAAACTTTGAGAAAGAACTCATCCCAAAGACCTGGTTAAAGAGCAAGTCACCCCCAAATGAACTTTTTTTCCCTGGTAAACTATATAAATGCGTGTCTAATCGTGCGGCAGACACATGTAGTCAGTAGTTTGGCCCTTTAGTGCATTTAGTTAACATTTTACTTTTATGCCTTAAACTGTCAGTGTTGTGCCGTTGTCAGGTAAAAACTTTGTACTGCATTTGAATTTAAATCTGCCATCGCTATTGGCTAAGAGGCACCCTAGGACAATAGCTGGTACCATATGATGTCACAGTGTCATTGCGAGCCTGTGTGTGTGTATTTGTTAGCGGCTCCGCCCTCTCGGTTTGCGAGGCAACAGCATTTGTTGCGTTTTTCAAACAGGAAGTGGGAGTGGAGTAATATTCTGGTAGGGGGTGACTACTGACTTGCTCTTATTATTAATATAAAATTATAAATCTGGTTGCTGGGAAGGAAAACGCTGATTAGGAACTGGATCAAGCGTATCTGTAAACACACCTGTAAAGATATTTTATTATTTTATTTACTTTGACTCTACATCTGTGTAAATCAGTATGTTTATGAACCAACTGCAGTTTAAAGCATTCAATTCAATTAAAAAATTCCTTTATTTTATTTATTAATCCCAGAGGGAAATTGATTGCTGTAGTAGCTCAGAATAATAATAATCAAGTCATCAAAGAGTTATTGTATATTACAATGGCTGTTGGCAGGAAGGATCTCCAGTAGCGGTCAGTGTTTCAGCGAAACTGAAGAAGTCTCTTCCGTTGTCAGACAGTCTTGTGAAGAGAATGCTCAGGGTTGTCCATAATTTTCTTGATTCTCTGGAGAATCCTTCTTTGCATTATCTCCTCCAGCGGTACAGAAACTGCCGAAACTCTGGCTGAGTCCTTGAAAGGGCTTGGAGTTCCTCCATCTTGTTGGCCAGTGATCTCACATTGCCCATTATGATCGATGGAAGAGATGGTTTGAATTTCCTCTTTCTCTGTCTCCGTTTTGCTCCCGCTCTGCATCCACGCTTCTTGCGTTTTAGCTCATTTGGGATTTGTGGCTTCAAATGAGGTATTATTTCAGCCTTTCCAATGTTAATCAGCTGCTCCCGATTGTAAACCAGCTCGTTGCCATAGTTACGCATCATAACAAATGCTCAAAAAGTGAAAAAAGCTTAAAAAAATAGCAGTAAAAATCCTCCAAGTTTGACAGAAACAGAAAAGTGTCCGAAAAATACAGTGTTTCTTGAGAAACTAGAAGAAAAAATGCCCAAGAAAAGGCAAAACTTACATATAGTCAACAGAGCTACTCCAACATGCAGCCACCCAGAGCAGCGCAGTTCCGGAAAGCTTAAAAACCCTTTAGAGAATATAATATATTTCTGTCACATTGTTACAGCGCTTAAGGTTATTTATCAGTTAGAAACAAACTAGCTTCAGAGTTTAAGAAATTAAGGTTTTGATGAAAAGTTTAAATATGAAAGTGAAACTTTAATTAGTTTGATTATTTGTCATTTTCTATTCTAAAGCTGTTGTTGTTTCAGAGAAACTGGAGATTAGATTTCACCAGATTTTTTGATGAAACCAGTGAGTTAAGAAAAGGAATGAAGTATTCGCTCTAACTGAACCAGCTAGCTGCTTTTACCATCAACAAGACCTCTCTGAGGGGCCTTCAGAGTGGGGGATCTCCACATAGGAAGTAAGGATGTCATTCATCTGATCGCTGCACGGATATGGAACCACTGTGATGCTAAATGTTCTTGTAGCTGCTCTATAAACCTCACACACACCAAATTGGTCTGGACTCGTGGGTCGCAGCAGTAGCAAAGATGTAGACTCAGGACCAAATGTAAAAGGTGCTTAGCTCGGGTAAAAGCAGCCACCAAAACCAGAATCGCAGTTCCAGTCAGCGTGTTTGATATTTGTTCTTGTGTGATTTCCCATTGATGATAAAATTTCACACTTCTGCATCTGGAGTCACGAGTCTCGCTCTTACGTCCCCTTTACCAGCTGTTCCAGGCTCTGCCAGTCAAGCAAGACTGAAATGTGGTTGGAGAAGCGACCAGTTTGGGTTGTTTATGGTTCCCATCACGACCATGAATCATCCTATTGGCTGGGTTGCAAATTAAAACATAAACAATTTCAGGTTATAATCAGAAAAAGACACTTTTAGGAAAGATTAAACAACAGCTTTATAACTTGTGCTTTAGTGTCTGAGCAATGTGTATGTAGCCACACCATCGGCCATAAGATTATGACTACTCAGCTGACGCTGGTTTGACACCTGATGTAGCTGGTGTTGTTTTATAAACATTTAGACTGCTATCAGGTTCACGTTACACAGTTACTCCCGTTGAAAAATGAAGAAGTTCCCACTGGATGAGGAGCTATAGTTAGCTGCTGCTGTAGATGGTTATCTGTGTAAATAAACCTAATAAAATTGTTGTTTTAGCACAAGTCAGCCGGCCGACACAAACAACACCTGTTGTAACTTTGTGACTGCCTTCAGTCAGGAGCAGAAAAATCTGTGTGATTGTGTAGTTGCTTCTAGAGTGGATCTTCTTCCCCTGCAGGAGTACGTTCGAGGGCTGTGTGACCCAGAGCTGCAGAAAGTGGAGCGCTACCCGGTGGACATGCACTGCATCTTCGCCGGCACCAGAGGCCTCTTCCTGGACAGACTCGTGCGCGACACGAGCGCAGAGGTTCTTGTGCCGGAGCCGGGTCGCCTGTGGCTGCTGGGCCGAGCCGAGCCGGTTGTGATGGCTCAGAGCAGAGTTCAGCAGTTTGTTGCTTTATTCCAGGTGAGACTAAAACCTACAGATCGCTCAAATAATCACAAATGATGTTCAGCACTCGCGTCATTGATTTTTATGTAAACGTGGTTTTTAATGGAAATGGTCTGTATTTGTATAACACCTTCTAGGGTTCACAACCCCCCAAAGCGCTTCACAACACAGTCATCCACCCATTCACACACACACATTCTGGTGTGTGGTGAGCTGCAATGTAGCCACAGCTGCCGTAGGGGTGCACCGACGAGGCTGCTGAGCTCTGGCGCCACCGTCCAATAAGCAAATCTCTCGATCCGACACATCTGTGTTTGTGCTTTCTGTTCAGGAGAAGAAAAGTCTGCCGAGCGACAGAGAATCCACCGTGAAACGAGCGTTCAAGTCCTTCGTAGAGGAGAGAGACGATAAATACACCATGGAGCTGCTGCTGCTGCCCAGTGCGCTAAAGGAGGAGCTACTGGGGCTGGTGCACAACCCCGGCAGCACAATCACACCTCCTCTGGTGGGTGGGCATGATTATCTAACACTCCTGTTTTCTGTAGCGACAGTGCTAGCTGCTTTCAGAGCTGATTTACGAACGTGGGAGTGTTTCCACTCGTGACTTGGTGCTGCGTTCCATTTCTGTCTGGGCTGCAGGAGTTCAGCTCACTCCAGAGTCATCTTCATTTCTCACACTTATCAAATTCAAAGGATTCTAGACGAGTCTCTCTAGCAAGCTACCTACAAAAAATAACCACACTTCCAAGGTCCAACCGCCTTTCTTCAGACTCCGTCCCTAGATCATGCCTCTACAGCAGATACTGTCAAACAACCATAAAAACACAACGTTATCTACCTTTTCAACCAACGTTTGCACCTTTTCTTCCTAATGTAACGCAGCTATGTATCAGCCGCAGAGCCTCCCGGCTCCTGGCGGACTCCTGATAGTCTGATGTTGATCAGTAGTTTTTTATTTGTTTCCAGCAGCAGTGGGTCCCCTAGGAATTTTTCCAGCTGTGGCGGGGGGGGGGGGGGGGGGGGGGGGGGGATTATGACACGTCTCTAAATAAAGTAAAATTTTCCAGTGCAGATTGGAGACAACCCATAGAAGCACTGATTTGATCTCATTTCAGAGAAAAATAGAACAGGTCAGATGCACCTAATAAATAAAATTACTAACAAACTCAGGATTCTTTCATTGCTTCACTGTTCTGGTGCTGAGAATATCACTAATGCGGATCAAAGGAGATACACAGATGAATGCACCTCTTGTTTATTATTTGGAGACTGCATTTACTGCAGCTGGTAGAGGCAGAGATTTTTTCTATTGATACACGAATTTACAGAATCATTTTAAATGTTAATAGGGGAAGACTGCAGGAGGGAGCGGTAAAATACCGGGGGTCCCCAGCAAAAACAAGAAACTACGAGTCTGATGAAACCCGCTGGTTTTCCATCAGGCAGTCACGGGGCAGCTCCAACGACCCAGTGGCTGTGCTGGGTCATTGTTATCGAGCTCAGTCCGGCTCGGCCGTTAACGAGCTGAAGCGACGTCGTGCTCTGCTTAAGAAGAAGCGTTATTTTCCCGCTTCTGAAGAAGCATCCAAAGTGTTTTTACGCTTTCTCAGAGACATGCCACGTCGCTAAGTTGTTAGCGCCGCGCGCTAACACGTCAATAGTGCAGCGTAGCCTGCTGGAGGTTTTAAGGGTTCAGATGAAAACACCCGACCTCTCAGGCTGCTCACACATCGATCTTAAGTTGTCGCTGTTGCGCTCACGCCGTAATACAGTATTAGATGCGGTTAAAGTCAGACATGAAAAAATAAATAAATTTTACATGAATAAGTGATGCTTAGCCTGGTGGGGGGAGGAAAATCTGGCCTAATAAGCACTGGAGGAAACCCTGTCAAGATCGTCAACACTCATTTATCTTAATGCTATCGAAACATGTAAACCAAAAAGCATTATATCCACTGCTACCTTTCTAATTTTAAACTCAGTAACTTATGCTGTAACTTCACCTTGTCCTGCCTGCTCCTCCTTGCTGCCGGCGGCTGTGATCACAAGCGACAACATAGTACTTCCCGCTGCTTCTTCGGGAAACAGCGCAAAAAAAAAAAAAAAACTTGGGATCTTTTAGGTGTGGCGGTGGGATTTCAGCCGTGGCGGCCCGCCACGGCTACGCCTATGTAAGGGAAACCCTGAGCAGTCACATCTCTGTGAGATACAGGCTTCCAGTTTGTTAGAAACACTGTTTATTTGTTTATCTGAACAAAAAAAAACATTTTAGTTCAAATATGTTTTCTTCTTTAGCTTAAACCTCGAACTTGAGACTGAAACATCAAGCAGATGGTGTCGTGTTTGTTAGATTGACTCCTGGGATGTTTGTGTTCTGCTTGGATCAACCAGGCGCCCCTTCCCAGCTCGACGGAGGCCGACCAGGACCGCTCCCAGAGCAGCACCCCGGTCACGGAGCTCTCCAACCGTATCCTGGGCACCAGCTTCGACGAGAAAGGAGTCATGCTGGCGTCTGGAGGAGGGAAAGCACCAGGGGGGGTCGGGTTGGGCCCTGAAGCCGTTCTGCTCAATGGCACTCGGCCCTCACACAAGCGGCGCTCTTCTGAGAGCGAAACCCGGGACACAAAGAGACAATACTCCCTGGAACGAAAGGAGGAGTCGCCTGAGAGGATGGCGAGGGAGCGTCAGAGAGACAGGGACGGGTGGGGGGGCGGCAGTAGCAGCTGTAGGTCCAAAACCCCCTCTGCCTCGTCAGCAAAAGCAAACACGATGTCCGCTCAGATTACGCTGGAGTCCAGTGAAAGCAACTCTGAGGACGGAGAGGCCGTCAGCCCAGAAACGAACCTGCGCTGCTTGGTCAACTTCTTCAGGTAAAAGTCTGATTCGGTTTTGGGTTGTCGGTTAGAAACCGGGGAGGTCACCGGGATGTCTGCAGTTATCTGATCAGGTTCATATCAAACACGAGTAGAGATGCCAAACCTTTGTTTTCCAGAACCATGGGGTACCAGCAGGACGTGGTGGAACGGGTCGTCAAGGAGACGGGACAAACGGAAGACACTTTTCTCCTTCTGGAGAAGATCGTGGAGGAAACCAAACGTTGTGAGATGGATTTGAAAGGAGGTGGAAAAGAGAGACAATTAAACTCTTTATGCACCTCCTCCGCCGCCGCCGCCTCCTCCATGGTCTCGCGCTTCAGAGAGAAGGAGCGTGAGCTCGGGAGGACGATGGATGACCCAGGGACGTCCAAGGAGAACATAAAGCCCAGCCAGGGAAGCAAAGGGTTGGGTCACCGGAGGCAGTGCAGCGGCAGCGAGAGGAGCACTCAGCAGGTATCCGTGTTCCTCTTCAGCTTCCCACATCATCGTTCCTGTTCTATAAGGAACCTATGCACTTGTTCCATCCTATTCCTGAATAGTTCTATGAAATCGGGAAGCTTTGTTGGGAAAAACTTCATAAAAGTTACATTCCTGCAGTATTTAGGATCACAAGCACCATGTTTCACACATTAATTCAACATAAAACTCATTTCAGGCCATCACCATCAAGAGGAGCTCCAGCGCTCAAGGAGGAGCACGACACAGTGATATCATCACCATCGATGACGACGAAGACGCCACCCCCTCCAGCACCAAAGCAGATGGCAGAACATCGCTGATCATGACTGTGACGCCGTGTGACAGCACGCAGTCGGGATCCCGTACAGACTATCTGGCACGGGGAGGGGGCGGAGTCACACAGAGGGACTTCTTGTGTCGGTTTGGGACTCAGACTCTGGGAGGACCGGTGAAGGTTGAGAGCTTGACGGCGCTGCGCAGCACGCCTCAATGGCCGACTGCTGCTGATGCCTCTTTGGCTTCGACCCCCAGTGTGAGTATCCGAGTGATGGCTCTCTGCTCTGGCTTCCTGCTCGCTGAAGCTTCTGGTTGTTTTGGTCAAATCTCCAGACAGGAAATGTAATCTGGTTCCAAACAAAAAACTAAACTGATGTTTTTGGTGTTTTTTTCTGATAAAAGGAAGGTTCTGGTGGGTAGACGTCACTCAGCTAACCCAGGAATGGGTTAACTCTGACACAGCCTCTGCACTGACATTGTTTTGTTTTTCTTTATATTGCAGTCATTCTGAGTAGTATCGCTCCTCTTTTTGCACATCCAGACTTTAGATTAGCGAGCTGAGAACAGCGCCCACGCACCGCGAGGGTTTGGACACCTTTCGTTCTGATTCACAAACTCAAGTCACGTTATCGTTTCTGCTTCTTCCACCACCTCAGGCAGCTCAGCCCATCAGCCGAGCCCCCACCTATCAGACCATCGGCCATGCTGGTTTTCAGGGGGGCGGGGCTGGGAACCCTCCTGCGAAAGAGCCCCCCGCCCCACCGGTTACTGGTTTGGCCCGTTTTCACCAGTCACTGAGGACTCCCTTCGCCTTGAACCTGCCGAACGAGCCTGGAATTCTGGGACTGAGGCACATTATTATAGATGGCAGCAACGTGGCGATGGCGTGAGTTTATCACACACACACACACACCACCCTAGGGTTGGGTACCGAATTCGGTACTTTTTAAGGTACCGACCGAATTCCATAGTACTGACCGAGCACCGATTCACGTCGTTTCAAACGGTGCCTCGTTTCGGTACCCGTCCTTCATAACGAGAACTTGCCAAGACAGCTGCACATGCGCAAGAGCGTTATGTCGTCGGTCGCTGTGAGCCAGTTGTAAACAGAGCAGCATGGTAGAAAGAACGCACGCTAACGCTTGGGTCCACTTCACTAAATGTGATGGGTAACTGGGTGATGATGAAACCAGCGACAACAATCTAAGTGAGACATCCTCATCTTTATCTGCTCCGGCAGGTAAATAAAATGTTTAAGATAACGTTAGCTTGATATGTTAGCTTCCGTTTCGCTAATGGTGCGTTCGCTTTCTCCTCGGAACTCCGAATTTCCGACTAGAACATGAACGCGCTCTAAAGTTTGGCTTCACTTTACTAAATGCGACGGGTGATTGGGTGAAGATGAAACCAGCGACAACGATCTAAGTGTGAGGCATCATCGTTTTAATCTGCTCCAGCAGCTAAATAAACTGTTTAAGATAACGTTAGCTTGATATGTTAGCTTCCATTGCCACCGTTGTTATCAGCTAATGGTGCGTTCGCTTTCTCCTCAGAAATTCTAACTTCCCAGTAGGAAAAATCAAATGAAAAAAGACGACAAAAGGAATGAAGATACACAGTAAATTTAGTTCACAGTAAAGATGTTTGCTTCAGTTTAATTACCAGCTCATAAAACTACAAGGACGATGTTAAAATACAAACAGTTGTATGTTATTTATCGTGATATTTATCAAATATGGTTATATATTGAGAAAAATATATATTTAATTATAAAAGAGAATTAATATATTAAATACTCAAAAGTATCGAAAATTGGTTCCGTTAAGTACCGGTATCGATTCCTAGGTACCGGGAATTAGTACCGAATCGATTCAAATGTCAAAGGTACCCATCCCTACACCACTCTGGTTCTGGAATCTTACGTTATTCTGGATTCCCGTTTCCTTGAATTTGGTCTCTGGTTTATGCATCAGGTGATGATGTCATCAGCGTTGGTGAGCTGTTGGCGTCCCAAATCAAAGAAATGAATGCTTGATGCTTTACGTTTGGCTACGTTTAGATACTTGGGTCTGGTGAGGAGCTGCCATGTTGTTCCTGCAGAAGCTGCTTTCAGCCCCGAGGATGAGCTCATGTTTGTGTTATCAGCTGCTGCTAACACGATAAAGCTGTTCAGTAGGGTTTAACTCGTGGATTATCTACTCTGGTGGCGTTATGGAGTTTTGTTTCCTGTAAAACCTTCTGGACTCTTGGCTCTTAGAAAAGCATCTGGATCCATCTTATCTTATTTTTTGCGTGTTGCAGTTATGCATGATGTTGAAACTAGTCAGAGATCAAATGCACAGTCAGTTTTATTAAGATTAAACGTTTGGGTTTTAATAACAATACCGTGTAAAGATCCTGCTTGTAGTGGGTCATGAAAGCAGATGAACAGCTGTTTTTTTATGTCTGAGACTTTTGAGTTTGCTGAGGTTGTAACTCATCTGATGACAAATCAAACCTGTGATTTGTCTATTGTCATTTCCCAAGCTGCAGTAAAACCTTTTTCCTTTTTACTAAGGAGCTACCACTCTTCCCATCAACACCATCACACATTAAGGTCCCCCCCCCCCCCCCCCCCCCCCACACACACACACACACCCCATACAAACCAGCTGTGCAGTGTGCAGGTTTCGGCTACAACCCTGGTTGCGTGACACATCACCTTGGAGCATGACTGTACGTGTGCCGGCAGAGCAAAAGCTGTAGTAGATTCATAATATTGATGCGTGGGCGTGTCATACGGAGGCGTTTCTGAGAAGAAAACATCATTTCTAGAAATCTGAAGCTCTTCTTTTCTCCAGACGTTTGTGAGGAAGAGCAGCAAGACCTCTTTTTGTATATCTGTTTTTCTTCCCTGGTTTATTCCTACAGCTAGGGTTGTCACGGTAACCGGTATAGCGGTAAACCCCGGTAAAAAAGTTGACAATAAAAACAACCGTCCAGTTTTTAAAAAACTAAATTATCTCGGTGGGTTTACCGCGACCGCGGTTTAGGCGCGGTGACCCTTACCAGCCACCGTCGCTTCTGCTGAAGTTCCCGCGCACACGCACTTTTTAGTTTGCAACCAAAACTTTGAAGCTGAAATAATGGCCGAAGGAGAAGGAGGAGACGGCAGCGCCCAGGACATCCATCAGCCCTCAAAGAAGACTAAATCGGAAGTATGAGCATATTTTGGATTTCTGAAAAATGCTGAGGGACAGTTAATAGAAGACGGCTATCCCGTTTGCAGAACGTGCAGGAAACAAGTGTCTGCAAAAGGCAGCAACACTTCGAATCTAATGGCACATCTGCGTGACCATCACCCACGTCTCTACAGCCAGTGCAAGGTAAGTTAACATTAGCATTTTAGCTTAAATGCATGACGCGAGGACTTTTGATTGAGGGAGAATACAACGAGTCACTATATACTGCAGCCGCAGCGCCCTCTGCCAGCATTTAAACCGTGTCACGGACACCCTGTTGCTGGATGAAGCATCTTATTTGTTGATGATGAAGAGAAATATACAATTAGTTCCTTGTCATTGATTTGTTTACTTATTCAATGCCATTTATACTTGAACATTTGGATTTGATTACATAGTGTAGTAGTTATTTTAGTAATTTGTTTAAAGTGGCTATTTATTTTAAATACATATTTTTTTAAGGTTGACTTGTACAGTGCTCAAGTCAAGTGTGGACTGGAGTTTTAGATTTTCATTTTGATGATGAAGAAAACAAGTATATGAGAAAACAAGTGGTGTTTCTTTGATTTGTTTACATATTGTTTATGTTTTGAATGTTTGGATTTGTATCATTTAAACCTGCACTGACTACTGTAACATGTTCCAGAAAAAGAAGCTATTTGTTCCTTTACTTGTGAAAAGTTGCACTTTTGCTAAGGCTTTGTGTTATTTTAGGTTTAATAAACACTGTTAAACCTTTTCAGAACTATTTCAGTTTGTGTAGAACAGGACTATCAATGCTTTCTGAACATATGCAACACCGTTTAAAAAATACCGCGATAATACCGAAAACCGTGATAATTTTGGTCACAATAACCGTGAGGTTACATTTTTATACCGTGACAACCCTACCTACAGCCTTCCTCCTCCATCACCCTACCCTGACTCCTTGCTTGTCAAACCACTTCCGTTTTTGTTTTCTTCATCTCAACCAGAAGGTGCCGTAAAAAACTTGTCTCTGACTCACAAAATCCCACAGGACGAAATAATATAATTCTGATCTGTTTATTTATTTAATTCTGCTGCTGTTGTTGTCTCTTTAAAACCTAAAATATCCCGTTTTTAAAACTGAATTATTATCTAACCACTAAATATCATTTTAATTATATATAATCTACAAAAGCAGTATAATGGGCCATTCCCATCTGTACCTGGTCGGCCCTGCCCGGATAGCTCCAGTCGGCCCCAGCCTGGCCCGGTTGATTCCACACATCCTTGCTTAGGTATGCAAGGAATGCAGTCCGAGACACTTTCAGCTTCTGGGTAATCAGCATGATAATGAATGATAATGAAATGAGCATGCCTTAAGCCCATGTGGGCTGATTCGACCCACCAATCAGAGGCTTGCTGTAATGAAAGGTGTAAATTTACCGTCACCTCCTACATCCACTTCTGTCAGGACAGCATCATACCATCACACACCAGGGTGAGTTATAACAATGACAAAGCCTGGTTTACCCCTAAACTCAAACAGCTGTGGTTAGAAAAGAGAGATGCATTAAAAAGGGGGGACAAGGACTCCTACAGAGACCCTAAATACAGGTTCAGCAAAGAATTGGTCAAAGCAAAACACCAGCATCATGACAAAATGCAGCAGCAAATCTCTGAAAACGACCCAACCTCTGTGTGGAAAAGTTTCAGGAACATCACCAACTACAAACCCAGAACCTCCGCCTCCACCGATAATCTGCTCTTGGCAAACAACCGAAACAATTTCGATTGTCGGTTTGATGAGCCATCAGGCAGGCCTCGCTCCTCGTCCAGCCCCAACAGTAGAGACATTGGTCAGCCACTCCCCACTACAGAGCCATCACTGTGGAATTTACCTTCATCACCCTCCCCCTCACCCCCCACTCATGAGGTGTTCACATCACACACCTCCACCACAATCTACACATTCATGAAGCAGATGTAAAGAAGCCGTTCAGGTCTCTTAACACATGAAAAGCCCCGGGCCCTGATGGCTTGGCTCCTGCCACTCTAAAGCACTGTGCTGAAGAGCTGGCCCCAGTGTTTAAGAGCATCTTCAACTCCTGACTGGAGGAATCTCATGTGCCAGCCTGCTTCAAGATCTCCACCATAGTCCCTGTCCCCAAGAAACCAAGAATCACTGGACTAAATGACTACAGACCTGTGGCTCTGACATCTGTGGTCATGAAGTCATTTGAGCACCAAGTTCTCCCCCACCTCAAGACCCTCACAGCCCCCCCCCCCCCCCCCCCCCCCCGACCCCCTGTGGTTTGCATACAGAGCAAACAGGTCTGTAGATGACGCAATCAACATGGCTCTACAATTCATCCTGCAGCATCTGGACTCCCCAGGTACCTACGCCAGGGTATTGTTCGTGGACTTCAGCTCTGCATTCATCACAATCCTGCCAGACCTCCTCCAAGACAAAATGCCCCAGATGAACGTGTCTGACCCCATCTGCAGGTGGATCACTGACTTCCTGACAGACAGGAAACAACAAGTCAGGCTGGGGAAGAATGTCTCGGACCAACGGACCATCAGCACCGGCTCACCACAGGGCTGTGTTCTTTCCCCTCTGCTCTTCTCCCTGTACACCAACAGCTGCACCTCCAAGCATGAGTCTGTCAAACTAATTAAGTTTGCTGACGACACCACC